CCCCAAAACCCCAAAACCCCAAAACCCCGTGAACAAATATTTAGTTTTAAATCCAGTTGAAATAGTACGAACTTTTTCTTTAAAATTATTAATAAATAAGATATTTGAATAAAAATGAGCATTAACTGCGAGGTTAATGAAATAGATAATGGCTAAGGATAGCAAATATCCTCTAAGGATGCCATCATCATTTCGAAACACCACTTCGAGCATTTCCTAAAAGACATTGAGGAGATTGAGCTTGTTGAAACCAATATGCCACTTACATAGAAAAAAATATTGTAAAAATTAGAGAACAAATGCCTTTAAAAAGTTGAGTAAGTAGCCAATAACTCTTAATGGATAAAAATTTCACCATTTTTCTATCGAAATGAAACGGGAAATCAATTTTTAACATTATTCTCCTTATGGAATTCTATATTTATATCCCCACTTCTTAACAGATCAAATTGATAATTATTGGTGTAGTGCGGACTAGTTTCCTACTCTAGACGATGATACCTGGTTTATTCGAGGAGGAATCAAATCAGTTAACACAAGTGCTTAAATGAAAGAGGTCAAGAGACTTGACCAGTATGGGAATCCAATAAAGAAAGGAGGAAAGCTCCACAGAATTGTTTTTGCAGACAATTAGGTACTTAACAAACCTTTGCAAAAAGTCCATATAGTAGAATCATTCAAAGAAGAAAACATCTCTGAAAAGAAGATGAAACAAATAAAAAATGAAAAGTCGAGGGAAAAAATTAATATCGATTACTGTCATTGTACAATCTATTGATATCAAACTAGTCAATAAGTTTCTGATATTTCTAAATATAATCCGATGAGAATATTCATTTTAATTATATGTACGAGTGTGTGTTTACTTAGTTTAGATTTATAAAACACATTTAAATTTATTAAAATACCTCTTAACATTATTAATTATAATTAAACTTAAGAACGTTGTGTGAGCCCCTAGATAGAATTATCTCACTCTTTAGCACCTCTTACTTAATTTAGCTCATTAAAATTAGAATTCATTATTAGATTCCAAGTAACCAACCAATGACCAATTACAAAGCAAACAATAATAACAACTTCCTTTACTTAAGCATCCTGCTGCTCTCATTTTCATGTCTCAGCTCTGTTGTCAAGACTCAGGATACGAACAATACGACCACTGTGGTGCAGTCCCCAAACTTGCCAGCTCAAACTTATCTTACTGTTAGAGCTAGAATTGATCCAATTATGGGAGGTCTTATCTACGAGTTGATAGATATTAACAACAATATGGTGAGCAGACAGGAGAAATTCTTTCCAGTTCCTCCAATTCCAGTGTGCTCATAGATTACCACAGACTAGCTCTATAGAGAACTTAGAAACAACCAGATAATGCTTCCTAATGGCTAAAATGTAACTATAATTAACACCGTTTACTGCTGTGATTATTATCTACCCTCGCTTGGCTACTAATATACTTAGTGTGGATAGAACCTAGGAATTTTTATTCTAATTGAAAGAAAAGGCACTAGCTTGGATTAAAGTTACCTTAATTAGTAACTTCTTCACAATAATGTTTCCTGGGAAGGATTAGTAGCGCTTCTAAATTAATATTGTGTGAATTCAGGATTTCAGGGCAATTTTACTTCATTCCTAGCCATTCCTGTACCCTGGTAAGAATGGTATACCATCTATTTGATCAATCCCAGAATTGAGAATTGGAGTAAACAGGATCTTAAAGATTGGATTAATCGATATGAATAATACATTAATGCTGGAGGTCCAGTAATATATATCAACGATAATATGGTAACTTTTCAATAATCTGCTCCACCAGCATCAACAGATTCAAACACAAGACTTAGAAGAAGGTTACAGGTAGGACCTTGGAATGCACCATCTGTGAATAATATCATTAATCCACCTGATAGCAGGCCAGTACCCAGTTCTGAGCAACAGTAAAATGACAGCTAATCACAACAGCCGCAATAAACTTAATAAGCTAATCAAACTTATTGGTTAGTCGACTATGATAACCCTTTGATTCTAACTTCTACTGTAATAGCTAATCTTACAGCCAGAGGCATATATCCATTATTTTACAACTGGTATCGTGTTTATTTCTATCCAAATGGGGTAGTCACATAATACTATGAAGCTTAAAACCTTTAAAATGGTCAGGCTACACCTAATACTTAAAGTACATATTTCATAGGGTAAGTCCCACCTCATTTGCTGCCGATAGTGAATTGGATTTCTTCATTAGTTTCAACTCAAGTCAAGGAAAACTGTGGTGCCTGCGTTACAGCATTCACTGGTTGAACAAATAGCAGACATGATATTTCAATACTTTAACCTTTTAAGTTTAAATTCAGGATTAATTGAATTAATTGTTCTGCCAATCATTCTATTTTAGATTGGCGGGGTTTTGGGGTTTTGGGGTTTTGGGG